TTTAATGACAAAGGAAACTGTTTATGATATGGTAAATGAAATAAGCAGATTATGAGATGCATGAACAAATGGCTATTAAATTATGAAAACATGTTCAACCCCACTCCTAGTAAAAGAAATGCAAATTTTTACTATAAGACATTTTCCCTATCCTATTGGCAAAAATCTAAGTTATATTTTATATTACAAAGAGAGAAACAATTTCTATTTGTATTGACTTGTATATATATATATATGACACTTCAAAAGAAACTAAGAGCAGCATTTACCTGGAGATGGAATCAAAGTCTAGAAGGATGTTCAATGAAATGTTAGTAAATGATGGGAATACATGTGATTAAAGAAGTCATAGGAATTTTCATTATATTCCATAATATATTCATATTTTTAAATGCAAAATAAGTTTTTAAATGACTTACCAGGAAGATGAACCAAGTGCATCTGTAGCTTTGTATAGTCCAGAGGCACACGCCTATGAACATGGCAGCAGCAAAGGATGAGGGCCCTGGCTGCATGGGCCTTGCTCTCTGGTTTACCATTTGCTATGTCTCACCAGTGACATGCATTTGACTTAGACTCCTTTAGACCAGTTGGGAAAATTCCAGGTGGGCTGAGCACAGTAATCAGCAAGGCAAAATGCAAAAGTAAACAGCAGAATGAGGAAGGGGCCGGCACACTTTGCTTGTTCAGAGGTTAGTAGCTATGAACCCTGTCATCCCAGGCTAAGCCCTGCATCTCAGAAGACAATTTCTTCTGGGAAGATTTTTGGGGTTATCCCAATAAAACAGTTTATTGAGAGCTTGTGAAAACACAAACCTTTGTATACTATTTACTTTTTTAAAGAATATATGAAATATACATTCCAGAAAAAGTGCATAATTCAAATTATTTGGTATTATGAGTAATTTTTAAGTGAACATTCATGCTACAAACACTGAGCTCAAGAAATGTAACAATTCCATCCCCCTCAGAGACACACCTAAGTGTCCCTTCTTGGTCACCCCACTTTCCCTCCTGTAAGAAATAACCATGATCTTCACTTTCATGGTGACCACTTCCTTGCTTACATTTATAGTTTTACCACCTATTTATGTATTCCTAAAAATGTAATTTGATTTTGCTTGTTCTCGAACTTCATTTATGAGAGCCATCCCTGTGTTGCTTGGAGCTACATTTTGGTCGTGTTATTAACTTTACAATATCCCATTACCTGCTTGTACCGTGACTTTTATCCATTCTACTGATGATGGACATTTGAAGTATCTCCAGTTTCCTGATATGAATATTATGTTAGATGTATTTGGGTAATTATCTTAGGGTAATTATCTCCAAGTAAAATTTCTTAGTTATAGGGTATGCATAGCTGCTGCTTTTCTAGATAACTATAAAGGAATTTTCCAATGTGGTTATCAATTTGTACTTCTTCTAGCAGTTGACAAAAAGTTCTTGTTACTCCATATCTTCACCAAAAGTTTGAAACACTAGTTTTGTCAGATTTCTTAACATTTGCTAGTCTGATAGGTGTGTAGTAAGATCTCATTACGATTTTAATTTGCATTTCACTGGTGACAAATAAAGTTGTGTGACTCCTCGTATATTTGTTTTCCATTTGGATATTTTTTTGTTTAAGTGCATGTTCAAAACTTTTGCTGATACTTTTATTGGATTGCCTGTCTTTAATAGCACTTAATTTAATTCCTGTATTAATAATAAGTCTGAATGATGAATGATTAAGGTTGGAAGTTCACCATGCAGCCAGAAGGCATATGCAGCAATCTAAGGTTTTTCATAAAATGCTTTTATGTAATGAGCTGGCACAAATTATCCATCAGACAAATTGGGTCTAAGCATCTGCCCATCACACTGTCTGCTGCCAGTCATCTGCCAGTGGACCTGGTCACCAGACCTTTACTGCATGCAGGGCACTGGGCGGAGCACTTACGTGGATTATTTTACTTCTCTCAACACCTCTATGTGGCATGTACAAGTGCTCCTCAATTTATGATGGGGTTACATCCCAATAAACCCATTGTAAGTTGAAATCATTTTGAGTCAAAAATGCATTTAAATACATCTAACCCACTGAACATTGCAGCTTAGCCTAGCCTACATTAAACATGCTCATGACACTTAACATTAGCTTGTGATTGAGCAAAATCATTTAACACAAAGCCTATTTTACAATAAAATGTTGAATAGCTCATATAATTAATTGAATAGTGTGCTGAAAGTGAAAAACAGCATGGTTATATATATACTCAAAGTATGGTTTCTATTGAACGTATATCACTTTCACACCATCATAAAGTCAAAAAATCATAAATGGAATCATTGTAAAGGACCGTCTGTACTGCTAGGCTGAGAGACTTAAATTACCTGTCAATGATGAGTCAATTAGAGAGTGATGGGGCTGGGCGTCGATCCCTCATCTCACTCCAGAGCCCACACTCTTATTCTAATTATTAAACTGCCTCAAAACAAAGTTTCCATCTGTTTTCAACTTAGATCATTGTTTACTCTGGCAATGCCAATCATTATTTCTAAAAAAAGAGAATATAATTAGGTACTTAGTTTAGAATGGTAACATTTAAATTCCCTAAAAATATATAATGGCATTATGAAGGATACAGATAAAAAGAAAATAGGTTTGACTAAAGCTTTGCTATGAACTTGACTTATGTTTCTATCACAGTCAATATGTGAATGACGAATATAGACTCTTTAGACTTACTATATCAATAAACATGATGTATGTCTTGAATAGATAAAAATAGATGCTCTTAAACCAGACCCATTTTTTTTTAGGTTAAAATAATAAAATAAACTCCAGTAGCAGCTACTCTAAATTCTCAAAGCAAGGAAATAAGACAATTCAACACATTGTGTTGAGTCTCAAAAAAGGAATTTTCTAGTCATTAATAAGCCTAAAACACCAAAATGTTCAAAAGTAAGACGCTAAACATTACTATTTCTTGGACAAGACCCCAGAGATCTATGGAAAAATAAATGTTTATTTTCAAGCTAAACTTTGAATTTGTTGTAAGATAAAAGAACTATCAGTATTTTAGAACAAAAGCCACAGAAAGCTGATTGGACTTTGAAAAGATGCTGAAAACTAAGAACTGAACTACAGCCCATGCAGGCGATGGGGGTTTCTGAGACAATTTCTATAATGAGCTTTAATTCAGAGGTGTTTTTGCCTTCTGACTTGAACATGTTCACGGGTCCTGTATAGCTTGTACAGCTGTGTTCTTTCTCCCGCTGAGACCTTGCTCAGGCTTGTAGTATCATTTAAAAGAATAATTTTCAATGTCTCCTTCTAGGCTGAGCATTAATTCCCCCACTGCTTGATCGATTAAATCCCACTGTCTGTGTCTGGAAGGCAGTGTCTGAGCTTTACATACTGCTTTCTGGCAGGCCACATTTCCATGCTCAACGGAACAGATGCAGCAGCACAACTCTGAGTGCAATGGGCTTTCGCACTTTCAAATCTTGGAGGGTGACGGAGATAGCTCTTATTTTAACACCGAGAAAATTTAAAGGCCTAATAATTACACTGCTATCTGATGGATTTGGTTCATACCTTTTGTGTGGCATTTAATAGCTTTCAAGGTGAGAATACATTGTCTTATTTGATCTTTACAACAATTGTTTATAGGAAACAGTGCTTTATTGTATTCCATTTTAAGAACGAGGAGAGTCTGTGATCCTTGCCCGGGGCTGCATGGCTAGTAACTTGAAATCTTGTAATTAAAAACCAGAGCTTCTGATTCTAACACCAGTGTTTATGATTCACATAAAACCCAAGACTGGAGAATTACGGAGGGCTTTCAGAAGGACCCACATTATGTGTGTGCTGAGTCCAGAAAACTAACAGTAACGTTAATGGTACATTGCTGCTCACCTGAACAGAACAAAACAAAGAATAAGCCATTTCAGCATTGCCTCTATGATAAGAAGTCCTGGAGAAAATTGCTGGGATACTTTGAAAACCCCTAAATGTAAATAGCCAAGCCCCTGGAAGATAAGCAGGCCTGCCCTGTAAAGGCTCTGCAAATGTATGCTATACGAAGTTATTATTCCCAGGGTCTCAGTGTACTTGCCTCGTGTTCCATACATTTCACATGTGCATGTCTTATTTCTCCAACTATAAAACTTAGAAATTAAGTGTTTGGGTTTGGTCTTTCCTAGAGGCAGATCCTGAGATAAAGGTTCCCAGGGTCTCAGTGTACTTGCCTCGTGTTCCATACATTTCACATGTGCATGTCTTATTTCTCCAACCATAAAACTTAGAAATTAAGTGTTTGGGTTTGGTCTTTCCTAGAGGCAGATCCTGAGATAAAGATACAAGTGCAAGTACCTTATTTGGGAGGAGAAAGAAACACCAGTAGGGAGTGGGGCAGTGGTGCAGGGAAGAGATGGTGGCCAGTAAAGGGTGCCATATGGAGCCAGCTACCACTAGGGTGAATGGAGCTGAATCCCATGAGGAAGTCCTGGACACAGTGTAAAACACAAACCTCAGAGTCATCCCACCTGAGGGAGAGGGAGCAGGGGTAACATGCTGACCCCTATCAGTCATTGTTGCTCAGAGCTGCTGGGAGGGCAAGTAATTCCTCCACCCTCTGGCATGCTGTGCAAGAGGGCAGAGTGGCATCCAGTAGCTTAGGAAACCCAGATGCTGGCAGGGGAATGTCTCTGGTAAAAGGCCCGAGGATATGGCAAGGTACCCAAAGGGTCTGATAGAATAGGATCTAGGTCTTACTTTTTTTTTTTTTTTTTCTATTCTCTTTCAAAACTCAGAATAGTATTTGGGATATTATATAGTTCTCTGATAACTATGGACATATCAACTTGATATTAGGGTAGATGTGGGAAATGCTTACAAATACACATTAAATCCTAACTGACAAAAGAATATGGAAAGCAAGAAGGAGCAAGAAAGGGCAAGGAAGGCACCGTGCACCACAGCAGCTTCAGAGCAGGGAGTCGTCTCTACTCACACTTTCTCATAAATCTTGTCGGGATGCTCCGGCCATTCGATCATGCACACGACTCTGTTGGGCATGGTCTTCGTGGTTGAGTAGTAGCCCTGGGGGAAAGCCAGCAGCAGAGCCAGGACCCAGATAACACAGATGACCACTTTGGTAGCTGTGGCCGATAGCCGGGGCTGGAGGGGATGGATGATGGCCATGTACCTGGAACAGAGAGGAAAGGACAAAGTTCTGATCTGAACACCAAAATCTGTACCAGCAATTACGTGTTTTTCCTACCAATAAATGCATTCCCAGAAAACCTTTTAGTCCTGATGATTTTTACAACTGTTTTTTGGTCCTTTTCCCATATTCTATCCTAAGCTTTATGACTTATGACACACAATGCTAAAATCCATAAGAAAAGTCAGCCAGATTCTTTAATATTTCAGAACTCATCTAGCAACATTCCAGAAGAGACATTTTCATCATTGAAATGCTCATGCTGGGGACATGATGGCCAAGTACAGTTCACAGGCTCATGGTAGAATCAGAAAAATAAGGACAATGTTGTAAATTTATTCCATATAGAGATGGTCTTCTATTCTTTTAGAATTAAGGGACAATTGTAATAGAAATAGTAGTTTTTAAAGTCCTTGTATAGCACGATGAAAGGTTACAAGCCTACATCAGTCCATACAATTTGAGGGTGTGTGAATGTGTATGCATGAGAAAGCCATGGCCTGAAGTCAGCAAAACACACTCCTGGAGAAATCTTCATCGACTCTTTGAGCATCTAGGAGTCAGTGTGTGGCTAATTGCACATGCTTCAAGAGGAGAAAGACAGTCTCCACCTGCTGACATAGGCACATTAGAGCACAAGAAAGGCCAGGGTGGATGAAACCCCGTTGCAGGAAGGGCAAGCACAGTGAATGACAACTTTGAGCCTGGAGCTGTTCCCACACCCCCTCAGCCTGGGATCTGGGACTAAACGCTGTCACCTGAACGAGCATGTCCACTTATTTGAATTTGTGTGCCACAGAGATTTGAGGAATAATATTCCAATAATATTCGAATCAACATTTCATATCAGTTCTGACTTTTAAAAGGCATCTCCCTATGCATATCTTTCATGCAGAGTTTATAGATCCATCTCTTAAAATATGCATCTTTTTTTTTTTTCAGAGTAGTAATGATGTCTTATACAGCTGTTGGGGTTTAAACATTTTCTGACAAAAACCTCAGCATCACACATTAGATTCTGAGACATGCAGGTATTTCTGGCTTCCATGGGACAGAATAGTCAATGGAGAGTTCAGAAATGTGCAAATAGCAGCACAGCTGTTAGTTGGCTCTGCATGATTGTACATAATTCTTTTACTGTGTACTTTGGACTCCTAGGCATTCTGGGCCAGAACTGGTGCCAGAGTTATAAGTGAAGCAATTTTATTCAGTATGTGCTCAACAAATTCTCACTAGGCACCTGCCACACACAGAGCACAGTGTTTCCTTCTGTGACGTGAGCTTTAATTTCTCTAGGGAGAAAAGGCACATCAATAAGCAGCCACAAAATACAACAGGAGGGTTAGTGACCTCAAGTGGTAATCTGATCACTACGTTAGAGCCATAGGGAAGCTGTTCACGTGATCAAGTCTTAGAATGGCAGGTAATCTGTGGGAGGGGCTTAAAGAAGTACTTGGGGTGATCCTTCTGAGCATCCTGCTCCAAGGGCAGGATGTGTTCAGAGTCTTCTTCCTTCTCTGTTAGGATTAGATCTGACTTCTTATCATGGAGGCTTAATAGCTGTTTCTGCAAAGGCTTTCCTGAGTGTCCTAAACTTTAGAATACCTTTTTCTGCATTTTCTTGCTAAGGACACTGGCTTTCCCTCTCTTGTCTGTAAGAGCAATGTCACTGAAGGTGCTCAGGGTATGAAGTCTGGACATTAGGAAGACACTTCAGGTCAACTTTCATATATACAATCAGGAGTCATGGTAACTCCCAAGAAGGAAACCCCCAGGAACATTTCCTTCTGCCTCTTTTGGAAAGTGGGTAGGTGGTCTTAAAGTCAAGAGAGAGTAAAATTAGGAAGAGACTTGGAGCAGATATTATGTGGGGGCATGTAGTCATCTATAAATCTCTGAGCAAGTTTCCCTGGTTGAGTTGGTGGCTACGAAGCCAATCACTCAAATGCTGTCTGAAGGGTATCAAAAAGGACAAGACAACTCTTAAGACACCACAGATCAAGCATTGTCTACCTTTTTAGGTTACCCCAAAGGGCCATAGCTACCACCAAGGGAGGCCTAGTATACCATAGAGTAGATGACCTTACATCTCTGGGGTGGTCCCCTGAATAGAACCCTGAGAAGTCTTGATTTCCCTCCTGGACCAGTGTCTTCCTTGCTGGCTGCCAGTGAAGAAGCCTGGGTTTCCTCTTCAGTACTATGACTGGTGGTGGGTGGGGGAACCTCAGAATCAGAGCTAGTGAAGGTGGCCCTGTGCAACCACTATCTTTGTCTTATTTCCAGTTCAGTGAAGGGCTGGGCCTAGATCTGGTCATGGCCAGAATCTCCTTGAGTGTTTGCATTAAGTTGTAGGATTGCTTATGGGATTATTTCCCAAAGCCAAGGGGTTTTCCCCCCACAAAGCTGTATGTGTCAGCCATGAAGATGCCTTATCTCACCTACAGCACCTTGCAAGCCCCTACCCTCATCAGCGGCTGTGCAATCTCAGGCTTTGCAGGAGCTCGAGGAGGATGCACAGGGGAGAATGTAATAATTACATTACCCTCTTTTAATATCTCAAATGCAAGATTTTAAGTTGTTTCTAACTCGGAATAAATGCTCAATCTTAAATAAACTAATCCTAATACCCATCCCCATGCCCAAATTATCGATACATTACTCAGAATCTAATGTGCCTGGGCTTAAGAGGGATTGCATCAGCATATTGGCACTGTAGCTCCAAATGGTGGCAGAAAGCCATATTTTATCTTTATTGCAAAAACTGCAATTTGGGAACCCATTTCAGTTAACTCTCTGCCATTCCTTGAGTATAGGAGCCATTTCAGTGACAGACGAAAAATATTACCCATATAAAGCTGGAGAGAATAAAAAAGATTGGCTTTAAAAAATGTATATATTTTCATTTGTTCAAAACAGAGCCACTTGTAAATCTCCTTCCCTCCATCCCTCCTTTCCTCCTTCCCTTTCTTCCTGTCTTCTTTCTCTTTCCTGCAATCCTCATTTCTGGGGCTTATGTAGCATGCTTCTTTCTTATTTACACAAAGCTAGTACTGTTTGGATAACTTGCACACAGGTGGATAAATATTTTCTTTGCTACTCCCCATTCCTAGCTTGGATCCCTTTAACATACATTTTAATATTTATTTGAACCTCCTCCCATCCCCAAATAATTCTTGCTAATTCAGTTATAAGATATCACTGAGAAAGTGCCACAGTTCTAGGAAAATACATTCAATAAATATTTATTGACTGCACTGTGCTCACAGGACTCTAAGGCAGTCAATGAAACATCTTTCTGGTTTACACATTAATCATCAGGCTGCCAGAGACAGGGGTCCGGAGGCTGTGTGGGATGTGGATTATGTTCTCCACTTCAGGTTCCAGTCCCGTGGAGGGCCATCAGCTCTGATTTGAATTGTATGTGGCTTCCCAGCTGAAAAACCAAGTCTTCCTCTTGCACGATTATGCTTTATAAAAAGAACTTTTTATATAGTCCCTTAAATCTGGCTGCACCTTTTTTCTCTTAGTAGGCAGATTGAAACAATTTCATTGTGAAAAATAATTCCAATCTTCTGACAAGCATCAGTATCCTCATAACTTCCTTCTCTACCAGCCCTAAATCACTAGGCAGACAGAATGTCTTTCCTCTACTAGGAGATTTGTCCTACCAGTCCCTTCTTCCATGGTCTTTCCCCTCCAATTCCAGTCCCTGCCCTCCCTTATTCCGACTTGCTCCTTCCTGGGATGGTACGAGGAGTTTCCTTTAAGGGACAACATCTTCCTGATTTCAAGTGACCAGGGCTGGTAACAGTGGAGAGTATGGCTGCTATAATCTAGTTTAAGAGTTGGCAAACTTTTTTGATAAAGGACAAATAGTAAATATTTTAAGTTTTGTGGCCCCTATAGTTTCTGTCGTAACTACTCTACTCTGCCTTTGTAGTGCGAAAGCAGCCATCAACAGTAAGGAAACTACTGGGCATGACTGTATGCCAATAAACTTTACTTACAAAAACAGATGTTGGGCTGGATTTGGCCCTTGGGCCATAGTTTGCTGTCCCCTGGTCTAGTGTATGAGAAATGAAAAGCAGGAGGAATTAGAACAGTAGGAGAACATGGTAAAATCTTGAGATACAAGCTTCACCTTTGACAGACTGATCACTCTACGGCTGAGCTCATTGAGTGGGTAAATCTTACAGCCCATCAGTATTCAATATGGTGCTCAGCTGCCAGTCATGGCCCAGAATCTGGGCTCTTAGCTGAGGATAGTGGTCAATCAGTCCAGGATGTCTTCCCATCTTGATCTCCTCCTGGCTGGCTCCTGCTTATCTGCACAACTTGGCCTGGTTATCATGTCCNCCGACTTGCTCCTTCCTGGGATGGTACGAGGAGTTTCCTTTAAGGGACAACATCTTCCTGAATTCAAGTGACCAGGGCTGGTGACAGTGGAGAGTATGGCTGCTATAATCTAGTTTAAGAGTTGGCAGACTTTTTTGATAAAGGACAAATAATAAATATTTTAAGTTTTGTGGCCCCTATAGTTTCTGTCGTAACTACTCTACTCTGCCTTTGTAGTGCGAGAGCAGCCATCAACAGTAAGGAAACTATTGGGCATGACTGTATGCCAATAAAACTTTACTTACAAAAACAGATGTTGGGCTGGATTTGGCCCTTGGGCCATAGTTTGCTGTCCCCTGCTTTAGTTTATGAGAAATGAAAAGCAGGAGGAATTAGAACAGTAGGAGAACATGGTAAAATCTTCAGATACAAGCTTCACCTTTGACAGACTGATCACTCTACGGCTGAGCTCATTGAGTGGGTAAATCTTACAGCCCATGAGTATTCAATATGGTGCTCAGCTGCCAGTCATGACCCAGAATCTGGGCTCTTAGCTGAGGATAGTGGTCAATCAGTCCAGGATGTCTTCCCGTCTTGATCTCCTCCTGGCTGGCTCCTGCTTATCTGCACAACTTGGCCTGGTTATC